AAGAGACATGAAGAAGAGGGACACATGTTGATATAAAAGAGCACTGAAGAAGAGGGGACACATGGTTGATGTAGAAGAGACATGGAGAAGAGGGGACACATGTTGAGTAGAAGAGACATGGAGAAGAGGGGACACATGTTGATGTAGAAGAGACATGAAGAAGAGGGGACACATTGTTGTATGTAGAAGAGACATGAAGAAGAGGGGACACATGTTGATGTAGAAGAGAAACATGAAGAAGAGGGGACACATGTGATGTAGAAGAGACATGAAGAAGAGGGGACACATGTTGATGTAGAGGAGACATGAAGAAGAGGGGACACATGTTGATGTAGAAGAGACATGAAGAAGAGGGGACACTGTTGATGAAGAAGAGACATGGAGAAGAGGGGACACATGTTGATGTAGAAGAGAACATGAAGAAGAGGGGGCCACATGTTGATGTAGAAGAAGACATGAAGAAGAGGGGACACATGTTGATGTAGAAGGAGACATGAAGAAGAGGGGGACACATGTTGATGTTAGAAGAGACATGAAGAAGAGGAGACACATGTTGATTGTAGAAGAGACATGAAGAAGAGGGGACACATGTTGATGTAGAAGAGACATGAAGAAGAGGGGACACATGTTGATGTAGAGGAGACATGAAGAAGAGGGGACACATGTTGATGTAGAAGAGACATGAAGAAGAGGGGACACATGTTGATGTAGAAGAGACATGAAGAAGAGGGGACACATGTTGATTGTAGGAGAGACATGAAGAAGAGGGGACACATGTTTGATGTAGGAGAGACATGAAGAAGAGGGGACACATGGTGATGTAGAAGAGACATGAGGAAGAGGGGGACACATGTTGATGTAGAAGAGACATGAGGAAGAGGGGACACGTTGTTTGAGAAGAAGAGATATGAAGAAGAGGGGACACATGTTGATGTAGAAGATAAATGAAGAAGAGGGGACACATGTTGATGTAGAAGAGACATGAAGAAGAGGGGACACATGTTGATGTAGAAGAGACATGAAGAAGAGGGGACACATGTTGATGTAGAAGAGGGGACACATGTTGATGTAGAAGAGACATGAAGAAGAGGGGACACATGTTGATATAAAAGAGACATGAAGAAGAGGGGACACATGTTGATGTAGAAGAGACATGGAGAAGAGGGGACACATGTGATGTAGAAGAGACATGGAGAAGAGGGGACACATGTTGATGTAGAAGAGACATGAAGAAGAGGGGACACATGTTGATGTAGAAGAGACATGAAGAAGAGGGGACACATGTTGATGTAGAAGAGACATGAAGAAGAGGGGACACATGTTGATGTAGAAGAGACATGAAGAAGAGGGGGACACATGTTGATGTAGAGGAGACATGAAGAAGAGGGGACACATGTTGATGTAGAAGAGACATGAAGAAGAGGGGACACATGTTGATGAGAAGAGACATGGAGAAGAGGGGACACATGTTGATGTAGAAGAGACATGAAGAAAGAGGGGACACATGTTGATGTAGAAGAGACATGAAGAAGAGGGGACACATGTTGATGTAGAAGAGACATGAAGAAGAGGGGACACATGTTGATGAAGAAGAGACATGAAGAAGAGGGGACACATGTTGATGGAGAAAGAGACATGAAGAAGAGGGGACACATGTGTGATGTAGAAGAGACATGAAGAAGAGGGGGACACATGTTGATATAGAAGAGACATGGAGAGAAGAGGGGACACATGTTGATGTGGAAGAGAATGAAGAAGGAGGGGACACATGTTGATATAGAAGAGACATGGAGAAGAGGGGACACATGTTGATGTGGAAGAGACATGAAGAAGAGGGGACACATGTTGATGTAAGAAGAGAAGAGACATGAAGAAGAGGGGACACGTGTTGATGTAGAAGAGACATGAAGAAGAGGGGACCACATGTTGATGTAGAAGAGACATGAAGAAGAGGGGACACATGTTGATGTGGAAGAGAGACATGAAGAAGAGGGGACACATGTGATGTAGAAGATAAATGAAGAAGAGGGGGACACATGTTGATGGAGAGAAGAGACATGAAGAAGAGGGGACACATGTTGATGTAGAAGAGACATGAAGAAGAGGGGACACATGTTGATGTAGAAGAGACATGAAGAAGAGGAGACACATGTTGATGTAGAAGAGACATGAAGAAGAGGAGACACATGTTGATGTAGAAGAGACATGAAGAAGAGGGGACACATGGTTGATGTAGAAGAGACATGAAGAAGAGGAGACACATGTTGATGTAGAAGAGACATGAAGAAGAGGAGACACATGTTGATGTAGAAGAGACATGAAGAAGAGGGGACACATGGTGATGTAGAAGAGACATGAAGAAGAGGGGACACATGTTGATGTAGAAGAGACATGAAGAAGAGGGGACACATGTTGATGTAGAAGATAAATGAAGAAGAGGGGACACATGTTGATGTAGAAGAGACATGAAGAAGAGGGGACACATGTTGATGTAGAAGAGGCATGAAGAAGAGGGGACACATGTTGATGTAGAAGAGACATGAAGAAGAGGGGACACATGTTGATGTAGAAGAGACATGAAGAAGAGGGGACACATGTTGATATAGCAGAGACATGAAGAAGAGGGGACATATGGTGATGTAAAAGAGACATGAAGAAGAGGGGACACATGTTGATATAGAAGAGACATGAAGAAGAGGGGACACATGTTGATGTAGAAGAGACATGAAGAAGAGGGGACACATGTTGATGTAGAAGAGACGTGAAGGAGAGGGGACACATGTTGATGTAGAAGAGACATGAAGAAGAGGGGACACATGTTGATGTAGAAGAGACGTGAAGAAGAGGGGACACATGTTGATGTAGAAGAGACGTGAAGAAGAGGGGACACATGTTGATGTAGAAGAGACATGAAGAAGAGGGGACACATGTTGATGTAGAAGAGGCATGAAGAAGAGGGGACACATGTTGATGTAGAAGAGACATGAAGAAGAGGGGACACATGTTGATGTAGAAGAGACATGAAGAAGAGGAGACACATGTTGATGTAGAAGAGACATGAAGAAGAGGGGACACATGTTGATGTAGAAGAGACATGAAGAAGAGGGGACACATGTTGATGTAGAGGAGACATGAAGAAGAGGGGACACATGTTGATGTAGAAGAGACATGAAGAAGAGGGGACACATGTTGATGTAGGAGAGACATGAAGAAGAGGGGACACATGTTGATGTAGGAGAGACATGAAGAAGAGGGGACACATGGTGATGTAGAAGAGACATGAGGAAGAGGGGACACATGTTGATGTAGAAGAGACATGAGGAAGAGGGGACACGTGTTGATGTAGAAGAGATATGAAGAAGAGGGGACACATGTTGATGTAGAAGAGACATGAAGAAGAGGGGACACATGGTGATGTAGAAGAGACATGAGGAAGAGGGGACACATGTTGATGTAGAAGAGACATGAAGAAGAGGGGACACATGTTGATGTAGAAGATACATGAAGAAGAGGGGACACATGGTGATGTAGAAGAGACATGAGGAAGAGGGGACACATGTTGATGTAGAAGAGACATGAGGAAGAGGGGACACGTGTTGATGTAGAAGAGACATGAAGAAGAGGGGACACATGTTGATGTAGAAGAGACATGAAGAAGAGGGGACACATGTTGATGTAGAAGAGACATGAGGAAGAGGGGACACATGGTGATGTAGAAGAGACATGAGGAAGAGGGGACACATGGTGATGTAGAAGAGACATGAAGAAGAGGGGACACATGTTGATGTAGAAGAGACATGAAGAAGAGGGGACACATGGTGATGTAGAAGAGACATGAAGAAGAGGGGACACATGGTGATGTAGAAGAGACATGAAGAAGAGGGGACACATGGTGATGTAGAAGAGACATGAAGAAGAGGAGACACATGTTGATGTAGAAGAGACATGAAGAAGAGGGGACACATGGTGATGTAGAAGAGACATGAAGAAGAGGGGACACATGTTGATGTAGAAGAGACATGAAGAAGAGGGGACACATGTTGATGTAGAAGAGACATGAAGAAGAGGGGACACATGTTGATGTAGAAGAGACGTGAAGAAGAGGGGACCGTTAAGATTGATTACATTTCTGTCCCTTTGTTACTTTCCTAATCTCTGGATTCTAACCCTTTTGGTACATCAGTCTCAGACAGTGGGGACATGCTAATCTCTGCTCGCTAGTCAGGCCACAGCAGTCTGCAGTCTCCACATTGAAAAGATCATCTGCTCATGTGGAGGCTGTCTGCTGGGGGATGTGAGTATGTGAGCCCTCAGCTGGAAGCAGGCTGCTGGCTCCATCTAGTGGTTGGCTCATATACACTCAGACACCTTTGTATTTAACAAAAGGCTTTCCTCAATATTTTAGAAGGTACTTTCTGAAATCTTTTTTCTTTTAATCTCTATGTTTTTTTTGTAGGCTGTCATTTACATGTTCGTTCATCCTGTCACAGGAATGATTTTGACCAATGTAAGGGTCAGCAGTTAGGGGTTTCTCTCTGCTTTATTGTTTCATCATCAATTCAGTCTTAAATTCTAGACCATCTTCCAGCACAAGTCTTCAAAGCTTTTATGAATGGGCACAGTGAAAGGCTGCTGTCTTAGAGAAGAATGTGTTTCCAATCCCAATAAAGTATTTTCTCAAAGCATTCATGATGTGACATTCAATTGTTCACATGGGAAGTGAGAGAAAGTCCCTCTGGAGGGAACACAGGGATGTTAGCCTTTGCCTACATGCACACACCTAGAGAACACACTACAGGAGAGGAAACAAACACTGTGTGTGTGTTCGTAATGAAGGAACATCTCATTCAGTGCAACACAGGGTTAATGTTATTTAGAGCCAATGAGTCTTAAAGCATAGAAACATGTGAGGCTGTCAGGATCCAGTGTGGTGGCAGAGACAGAGAGGAGGGGGGGCTGGGTCTCTCTCTGCTCCACCTGATGGTGTGCCTCTCTTTCAGGCTGTGCTATCATCCGTCCTCCCAAAGATGGAGGGATACGCTACAGAGGGCTGACACAAGAGCAGGTAGGACTGGCTGCTGGCACACTCTTATTATCGCTGCACAGAGACAAATGTAAAGTAACAAGTTTGTAATGCATATTGGAGTGGTGAGACTAATGACATTTGTTTGTAGTCCAACCTGAAAGTTAGCATCACACGGGCTCCAGTAACAAAAAGCAATCAGATCTGTATATTGGATAGAGCCAAAGAGCTATTCAATATCGCAGAAAATAAGCTCTTTGGCAAATACACATTTAAGTACATGTTTTGTTCAGCAGGATATTCTCCACATATTAAACTACTTTTTTGCGTAAATGCAATTACCAGAAGAAAGCTAACATTAGGCTATAAAGGAACTATGGTCACATGACTTACTGTAGCGTCACCACCACTAAGCTAAAGTTGACGATGATGTAGTCTCATTTAGACTCCAGCTTCAGACATTCACCAGAAGAGGATTTACTGACTGTCAGGGACCAGGAAGTGAGGCAACAGGACACAGTGGGGTTTTTGTATTTACCCAAAAATAAAACATTATAAATCAAGAGTCTTTACTAACTAGGCCTATAAATAAGGTCAACAGGAAATAACTTGAATAAATATAACAGCAAAGCGACCTGCCACCATGACAGAGCAATGCACCTACACAGTGGCTCGGCCAAGCCAGGTAGAAATCAAGGGGTAATTAAGATGAACAGAATACAAAAGGACATGGACCAAACCAACATCCCTGTTTTGACATGGAGCACATGTGTTGTCCCAATTTGTCTTTTGCTGAACCAGGAAGTAACCTCCCCCAACGACCACATTAACTCAAATAAAAGGAGTTAGCACTTCACACAAATAATTGTGTTAACTGTGCTAAAATGTGTGGAAATACACTAAATCATGTCATTTCAATCAAGTGTGCAGTGTTGACTCTTGGAGTGGTTTACTGCCACTGAAATGAAGTCAAACTAATGGAAGTGAGGGTGCAGTGATATGACCTCAGTGATTACCCTGTGTGGCTGTTGCCATCACACTGACGTATTTTATGTCGTAGACAAAACGTAAAAAATCTCTTGAGCTCGTGTGAACCACAGACCTTATTTCAGGTATCTAACCACACACACATTCAAGAACCATTGACTTCAAGACGCTGGAACAGGAAGTTGTATATTGCCGACTCACATCCAGGTTTTAGAACTCATTCCTGCACCAGAGGTTAATATAATGCCCCAAATCAACTCTATATCAAACATCTACTACTACGCTTAGTTTGGTTTTAAAATAATGACATTCTTGAATGTTCTTCTTCTTCTTCCTCTGGTTTGTGATGTGTCAGTCAAAGTGATCCATACTTAAGATCACCAATCAGCAGAGAAAGGATAACATATTTGTTTCAGTCTTTCCGTTGTAAACTAAGTTTGGTCAGTATAACCTTACATTTTCCTCAACGAGAACTTTATCTACAACACGCCATGTCATAATCACCATATGCTGATGGACTTAGACTCATGGATAATATACCTTTAATGGAATTTATCAAGACAACAATTGAAAATGGCGGAAGTGTTCAACCAAACAGGAGCTGATCAGAAGACAAGGAAATATGTTACTAAAATATGGCCAAATGAACATTTCAAACGAGTAAATAAGTATTAAGGCCTGCATGTTGTGTTGCTGTATTACTGACTGAAGTGTTTGATGTATTGAGACTTAGTTGAATACTTTCTAATTGGATGGTGGGATGTAAACAGCCCTCATCCTAACGATACAACAAAGTATTACAACTCGATCATTGCTTGTGCAAACAATATAACCAGTCTATGTTGTGGTGTACTAATTCTGATTCTGTGTGTGTGTGTGTGTGTGTGTGTGTGTGTGTGTGTGTGGTGTGTGTGTGTGTGTGTGTGTGTGTGTGTGTGTGTGTGTGTGTGTGTGTGTGTGTGTGTGTGTGTGTGTGTAGATCCGCAGTGTGCAGGTGCTCCCTGTAGACTATGAGATAGAGTACATCTGCAGGGGCAACAGGGTGATTGTGGGACCAAAGGTCAGGAAGTGTTTGCCCAACGGCACCTGGACCGACCTGAGCCAGCGCAGCAGATGCTGTGAGTTCACCTCAGCTGTCATCACACACACTCCAACTCAACACTCTACACACACTCATCTCCAACTAAACTGTACACACACACACACACACACACACACACACACACACACACACACACACACACACACACACACAACACACACACACACACACACCACACACACACACACACACACACACACACACACACACACACACACACACACACACACACACACACACACACACACACACACACACACACACACACACACAACACACACTCCATCACTGACTCTCTGATGGACATTAGTATTTATATAACTACAGTAAGAACATGATAAGGTCTCCTGGGCCTGTCAGTGTGCTGTACGGCTGTACGGTGTTCTCGTTATAATAAAACACTGTAAATGACTGAGATTCCTTTGTTGCCCTGACATCGTGAATGAAAGTTGTCTGAAGGATATGTTTTCAAAGCTACATATAATAGATGAAATAGTATTCAATTATAACAGAGGAGTTACATTTCAGTGCTCAGTGTAATAAGTGTTATTATTTCCTAATATTCAAATCCTGTTATTTATTTTGACCAAATATTCAGCTTAAAGCCATATTTTTTGACATTGGAGCATTTCAAAAAATACATTTCAACTGCAAACAAAAAGCTGTTCTACTCGTCGCACACATCTAACAGAGTGGTCTCGCAACAATCCAACCAAAATGACAAGTTATTGTTATTGTTATAAAATAATAGGAAAGCATGATAATATATATAGAGAGGGAATTATGACCTGTTAAAATCCCTCACTGAAATGTTTTCAAACATTAAAATACATTTATTTAGTTTCTTTCTTTTATATGGAGAATCGTTGAATTTCCCTGGATTGGTGTTGACTTTGTTTCTGGTATCTTGACCTCCTTAGTCTACTTATTTACTGTATCATTAGTATTTCTGTATCATTATCATATTAAATAAAATGTAGGAAAAATTGGATTACAATATAATACATTTGTTACTTCAGTACTTAAACTAAATAAGATACGTTTGACCTCGCACAGATCATACCATATGTTGTAACCTTTTCAATGATTCATAAAAGACCCTTTCATTGTGACTTTCATGAAATAAAGGTGTGGAAACAAAACTTTGAAATGGGGCAATGAAAAGAAGTGGAAGGGAGGGGGCTGGGAAATAGTGTGTGTGTGTGTGTGTGTGTGTGTGTGTGTGTGTGTGTGTGTGTGTGTGTGTGTGTGTGTGTGTGTGTGTGTGTGTGTGTGTGTGTGTGTGTGTGTGTGTGTGTGTGTGTGTGTGTGTGTGTGTGTGTGTGTGTGTGTGTGTGTGTGTGTGTGTGTGTGTGTGTGTGTGTGTGTCATTCACACCCATCTACCTTCATCCTGTGACAGGGGAAATCGACGGTCTCTTTGTTGAGCAGGTAAGACGTTAGTCAGTCTGTCGGCATGCAGCCTGAACACAGAGAAACAAAGACCCTACACTGACTGGCCTTAAGATGTCACTGTCGGTCTGTTAAAGAAATGAAGGCCCAATTCCAAACCAACTCCTACACCCTCCCCCTGCACGCTTCACTCAGTTTGTGTCGAGGGTCCGCTACATTGAGTGCTGATCCAAACAACAAGTGGGGAGTGGGAGTTATCGAGGCCATTCTGATACCACCAGGCAGTGTTGGAAGAAGTACTCATCTTTTACTTCAGTAAAAGTACAAATACTATGGTCGTAAAATACTTCACTAAAAGTAAAAGCCCTGATTACAAAATGTGACTCAAATTATAAAAATATTAGCATCAAAATGTACTTCAAGTATCAAAAGTAAAAGTACTCTAAATGCAGAATGGATCTTTTCAGTATTTTATTATTATGGTTATTATATTATATTTATTATAAACATGTGTTTTAGTGTTGCAGTTTGTCAATGTGGAACAAACTGTAGATTAGCATGATACCATATCAGCATATCATGTGTTTATTATACGGAGGCGTTCAAAGTTCAGTATTTGTTTATGAGTTATCATTTTTTTTTGCATGTTTTGAGAGCAGCCAGGCTGGGGGTGCACAGAAGGACCAGGAGCCCTGCCCTTTTGTTTTAAACAGGGCAGATGTGTGCAAATCCTTTAAAAGGGTTAACCCACACAAGGCTCCTGGACCTGAAGGCATCCCTGGCCGTGTTCTCAGGGTGTGTGCAGTTCAGCTGGCAGAGGTGTTCACAGACATGCTTCAAACACTCCACCATCGTTCCTGTCCCCAAAAAGAAGGGGCCGTAAGGCTTTAGGGCCCGTCCACACGGCGGCGTGCGTTGAAGCTTCAATGCTTTTGCCCATTCATTTTGAATGGAGTGACGTCACACTTTGCCGAACTGCATTGTGGGAGCGTCACTTCGCTTTGCTCGCGTTGCTCGCTTCAAAAGTTGAGCAATGTTCAACCTTTGAAGCCTCGGCAGAAGCGTCAGCCAATCAAATCATATGCCAGTACAAGCTCTAGCCAATCAAACCACGTGCTTGTGTGTCAGGGGCGGGCGATTCATGTGATTGGTTGTTGGTCGAGTTTCAGACATGCCCGCCGGCAAGCTTCAATGCACGCCGCCGTGTGGACGCTGCGTTACAGAGGGTGGTGAAAACTGCACAGAACATCACCAGGACGGAGCTGCCCTCCATGGAGGACCTCTACTCCCAGCGGCTCAGGAAGAAAGCCCTCAGGATTACAAAAGACCCCCATCACCCCATCCACAAACTGTTCTGCCTGCTGCCGTCTGGCAGGCGGTACCGCAGCATCCGGACTAAAACCACCAGACTCAGGGACAGTTTCATCCCACAGGCAATAAGACTGTTAAACACCTGAACTGCTGAAACAACATCCTTAATATTCATCTGGCTGCTACTTAAAAATTATGTATCTATTTACCCAATATATCATATTTCAATGACTTGCATAGACTCTTATTGCACTATTTCACTTTTTTAAACTATTTTTCTTCTTACATTTACTATTTACTTGCACTATATTTTTCGGTTTATCTGTGTTTTGTGTTGCACTGTTGGAGAAGCCTGTGACACAAGATTTTCATCGACACAACTACACTGTAGCTATGTTCGTATGACTAATAAAGAACCTTGAACCCTTGAACCTTGAGATGTAGTGGAGTAGAAATACAGAGGAGTTTTAAATTGAAATACTCAAGTAAAGTACAAAAAAAATACAATGTAGTTACTCTCCACCACTGCCACCAGGCATGTTGTCTCCTGTCTCATGGTCACACCTCACACCGCTTGAATTAGGTACTTGCTATAAATCCAGCTTTGATTGTTTTTTTGGTTGTTCACTGTTCAAGTTTTCCCTTTTAAAACTCCACTTCATTATGTCCTTCTGTTGCGCTACAATTCCCTCACTCCCTTTTCTCTCTGCCTGTCTGCCTACCTAATATTTGACACCATGCACTCTTTCTTTAGTAAAGCCACTTTCACAGGGCAGCATTACACCACCACACTGACAGTGTCCCCGTTGTATTAAAAAAGTCTCCTGTGCCTCTCTGCAGTGCTGATGTGTCCCCGGGTGTGGACATCATTGGAAAATGGCCGGGTGTCCTCTTGGCCTCTGGGGCCCCCGGTGGAAGGGACAGTGCTGCACTATAGCTGTCTGCCCTCCTTCATCCTCATGGGCAGAAACTCAACACAGTGCAACAAGATGGGCAAGTGGGACACGCCCAAACCTGTGTGTCACTGTGAGTCCACACTCATTCAGATTTGAAGCTTTGTTAGCAATTTATTGACCAATTACCAGCTTTCTTAAATTGCACATGAGCCAGTTTCATTGATGTTTACATGTTTTACTTTGACTTGCTATCAGTCTTAACCGAGACAAGTCATTTCAACAGTAGTAGTCTCTCTGTACGGCATGTTCAAATGTCCCCTCAGTACACTCATTCTAAAGAGAAGAGCAGAAGGAGGCAGTGATGACTGGGACTTTTGGCTCTGTTGTATTTTTGCAGTGTTCAAATATTTGAAGATATAGAATATGTGTGTGTCCTGATTGTTCTTAGATGTTCTAAGATAAGCTGTAAAACCAAACTCTGTTTTGTTTCCTCTTTTCTGTTCCCAAAGATGATCGGCACTACAAAGGTAAGAAAATAAAAAATCAATAAATGTTTGAAATACTTTGAATGCCACTGTTATCCAGCAGTGTGTTGTGTAGGTGGTGAACGCTAGCAGCGTGGTGCTAATTAGCTTCGGAATGCCGACAGACATCAAACAAGATCCCATAATGTTACTTTGTTCTGCAGTTCGTAACATCTATCGTACAATGCCAGGTCTTCAAAGCACTATAAAAGTTCTACAAATCATGTGACATGTAGTTACTCTGCCCCTGACACATGCACGGGTATTCAAAGCAGCTTAATCAAATGACCCTTGTCCGTTATCTGCTAAAGAATCATTCATATATGAAGAATGCTTTTGTTACAGAATATGAAAGAATACAATGCATATTTGTTCAACTTGTACCCTTTCTGAGCTATCCCTTGCATCATCTGAAACACACAGCCCATGCTGACCAATCACAGCTCCTGTTCTCTTCACACCAAACACCTGGCTGGGGTTTGGTATTTAGCAGCAAGAAATGGGTGTTCATACAAACCCATCTCATGTGATTCAGGTGATGAAGCATACTACTGATTAGTTGGAATTAGGGGTGTAACGGTATCCGTATTCGTCCCGTACCGTCACGGTTCGGACGTCACGGTTCGGCTCACACGACGAATACGACCCAATTTTACGAGTGGGAAAAAAGTCTGTCATTCAGGGCAGTATCCACTACACTATATATAATCCAGGGGCGGTATTGCGCCTAAAAGCTGTTTGCCAGCCGCCCTTAAACAACAAATGAAGAACAAGAAGAAACACAACAACAAAACCAACAAAATACAAGAAGAAGAAAAGTTAATATGGTGATTTCAGATAACACACAGGAGCTAGAACCACCTGCTTCTTTTAAATCAGCTGTGTGGGAACATTTCGGGTTCCCTTCCCTGTGGACTACAACAACGATGGAGTGTACGAGTGGTGGATCGGACGAGGACGGTGTGTCGCCGTTGTTCTACAGTGGTGTGGTATGCTAATGGTAACACACGCCAAACATGCTAAATCATATCAGAAGGCATCACCCAGATTTGCCAATCACCGGAGCCCGGCAAAAGACAACAGCAGTTCAGCAGCTGATCCCCGCTGTTTTTAAGAAGCCAAGAGACATGAAAGCCGTGAGACCAAAATAAATAACGGAAGCTTTTGGCATATGTTTTATGACTTGAAACACTTTCTTTTTATTTATGATGTCATATTTTCAAGACATTCTTTTTAGTTTTACAGCTTGATGAAACCTTTTTGTTTGACATCAGCCATTATAAATAATATGGCCATCTGAGTGTACTGTGTAAGGTTTGTTTTTAACTGTTTAATACAGTTCATTATTCAAAATGTCAGAGTTCTTTTTAAAAAAAACTGAAACTTGCACTACTGTTCAAACATAAATAACAACAAACCTGGAATTATGCATTTGGGACTTTTTTTTTGCTTTTTCTTGTTGTACCGAACCGTACCGAACCGTGACCCCCGAACCGAGGTACGAACCGAACCGTGACTTCTGTGAACCGTTACACCCCTAGTTGGAATGTATCAATAGTTATTTTTAAATCTAAACCCTTTCAGAGTGCTAGCACATGCAGGTTGAATGATATTATATAGCGTATACACAACCCAACGTTTTAAACTGAAACATGTTATATTACTTATCATTTTTTGGTTCCGTCACTAAATTGTACACGCTTGCCAGCTTGTTTGTCTTCATAAGGTTTAAGGTTCCACTATTCCTTAGAGCCATGGTTTGAAATGTGTGTTTGGTGCTGTTGAGAAGTCGGACCGTGATGAATGGTTAGCTCCAAATAATGAATGGGTCCAACTTGAGGCTAAGTACTTACTAAAGGATCCTTTTGACTTTTTATCATTGTCACTGTAGATGCAATGTGCATTGTTAAGGTACACTTAAACTTAACATGACATTAAAGATGTTATGTAGCTTTTTCTGCATGTAAACGGTCTGCAGAGTCACAAACCCTCAAAGTACACCCTGTAGCGAGTAAAACCCTAACACAGAAAAGACCTGTCTGTGCTGCCCCAGAACGCCTCGTCGGATATTTTTAGATTCTTCCTGGTACCAAGTGACGTAACGACGACCCAAATGGACCAATCCGTGGAGCTCCTCACACACCAGGATCCCTTCGCGTCACTATCAAACGCAGTGGAGCATAGAGCTCCCTGAACGTTGGTAATAGACGAGTTGGGATCGCGGAGAAACACTCACCGTATCTTTTCACGCGTGTGTGCTCAGGCTGAGTTTCGTGTGTCTCGCTGTCTCGCAGACCCCACACAGCAACCAGGAAACTACACCAGTAATACAGCTCACACTGTCCTCTCCTCGAGTCTCAAAGGGCGGAGCAGCAACGTCCCGCCAACACGGCCCAGGGGCTCCAACAAGGCGTTTAGGACAGAGAGTGAATACACATACTATATAGAGATGTATGTGAGTTTGGAAAATTGCACAGTATAAATCTATTCTAGTAGACCTCAACAATGGAATTATGATCAGTAGAAATGGCCATGACATGGGACCTTTAAGCAGCAGCTCACAATGGATGTGACTTGACAGTACATACTAAAGAGTGGTGCAGGTATGAGTACTTAACCAAGAAATTACCGCTTCCAGTTACAGTTGTGTTAGTGTTTAGAAGCATGAAATAATGTCCTGAAGAGATTCTCAAGTTTTTTTCTACTACATAGGAAAATGTCAGTAGATCCCCCCCACTTGTGAATCTCCGAAGTTTCTATTTCAATCAGGAGAGACGTGATGTATGAAATACATGTTTATTACCGGGACACATCATATGAATGAAATAGTGATTGGCGATTAGGCCCCGGTTTGCATGATAATCATTCAGGAGGGTAAAAACCGCTCTGATGAACCCCCCGGGGTCTAGACACTGGTGGTGGTGATAAGTGGTTCGGTCCGGTCTGAAGGGAGAAGGTTTTAGCTTGGCCCTGTATTAGGAGACAGGAGGCGAAGGGGTGGAAGAGGGTTGCGCGTTGTCACCTGAAATGACAACTGACAGAGAGGGAAGAGCAGATTTATACTGTAGATGTATGAAAAAGTGGAACATTAGCATTAAATATATAAACCCTGCGCCTGGTACAGGAGACAGCATGAATAAAGGAAATGGAATGCACTCGGTTTATTATGAGCGATTCCAGACTGACTGAGTCCCTGACTGACAGTCTGATCTCAAGGTGGCGACATTGTGCTGCCTATAACGGAGCTGCTGCCTCCCAGATGAAGAGTGGGTGGCTGCTTTTAAACATAGCCTCCCAGCTCTTTGTTCAGAGAAGGTCATTAAGCCACTGTTGTGTGCAGTTGGTAATAGCCTCTGAATAACTGAACAGCAAACAGCTGTGTGGGATAAGGCAGTTTCTGCTCTAAAAATAGGACTTCCTTTGTCTCGGTATAGCAATACTGATAACAGCAACACTGTTCAGATAGGATCATTTCACCCCTAAAACTATAAAACCTCATTCACCTTACGCTGTTCAGATTAGTACTAAAATCATCATGTCATTAATTTTTTAAGAATTTAACTTAAAATGGTGTTAAATATAATAGTTTTTTCAGTATTTTTATTGAATAAAAAGAAATGCTTGAGCAGATTCAAGGTGGATAAATATCATTCACACAGCATTTCCCTGACACCCCAGTGGAATCCACAGCATCTGAAGCTGATGGAGGGTGATTGCAGTCTCATGCTGAGGAGCTGTTTACTCCTCCTCTCTCAGCGTGAACACTTCTTGATTAGATTTTTGCGACAAGTTAAGAAATGAATTATTCAGTTTCTCCTGCATTCCCATTCTATACAGTTCATGACCTCCATACATGTTGCCATTAAAATAAGTCTCCCTCACAGAATAAAGACAGAGGATATGTCCTCAGTGGTAGCCGCTGTCCCTTTTTAGACATACACAGGAGCTTGAGACATGCTGGATCTTTTTAGACAGTTCTGAAGGAATCCTTGATTTCGATGTTTGAATGATTCCTCAGCAGTAATAAAGAATGTGGATGCTCCGGGATGAATGTGACCTTCACTGCTCCATAATTGCTTGGATTTTAGATAAACTTATCTCCAGACCCCAGTGTGTTAGACTTAATGATTTTAGACTCCCTGGGACTCAAATCTACAGAAACAAGTGAGACCTACAGAGAGATTTGTGAGCTGGTTAATGATCAGTGTCTCTTTTATAGTAATATTAGATATTGACTTTAATTTAAAATCAGCAGGTTGATTTTATGTGACCTTAGAAATATCTGTGTGTTGATATTTACTTGAACCTGCTATTTGAAGAGCACTGTGTAGCTATCATTTTAGTACTGGATACAGCTTGCGTTTTCATTAAGCCCCCCCTCCTATCAGCTCGGTCTCCTCCGGTCTCAGCTGTGCAACATAAATGGAGGACCAAGAATAACTTGAATAAAACCAACTTTTAGGTCTTAATGATTTCAGTAAGCGCTCTCTTTCCCAATGTAAGTCAATAGGAAAACAGACCTTCGGTTAGCATTTATCATGGGGGTATGATCCCATACTGCCCTGACTCCCCACCGGATCAGCATACCTTCTGTTGCTTCAAGTGCTAACTGAAGCTCCTTCCAGCTAAGCAGTTGACAGATACTTTTAACAGAACCTACCTTTATTTAAAGGCTTGTTGCAGAAAAGGTGAAACAGAACTGAACCCCCCAATATAAGACAAACAACAATCCAACAAAGAATGAACAACAACTAGTACTTAAAAAGAAGTTGAACTAAGGAGGTAATAACATGCAGGTGTACAGTAGGTTTAAAAATATAACAGGAAACAGATTAGCCGAGAACTGGGATTGTGACGGCAATAAACAAACTATAAAAGCAACCGCAGACCCCCCAGGACGTGACCCACTGAAAACACACATGGCTGATGTACTGCAAACTCCAGGCCTGGAGATTATACACTGCCCGTCCAAAAAAAAGTCTCACTCTAATATTTCGATGGAC